TTCTTTTTTGGGCCTACTAGCCTGTGTACAAACGCCCCCTCCCCTAGGGGATAGAAAGATCCTTTGTTTTTGAAGGGTGGGGACGGTTGTACACAGGCTGGGTCCTACCGGACATGGCTTCTCCCTGCTCAGTGTAAGGGAGAACGATGCCCTCCGACGAATGCAAGCTGATGGATTAAAAATTTATGCTTGTAATTGTACCAGTCACCCCATCAATCTTTGGAGACCAGTATGTTCAGTTGTGACAGAAAAAAAAAGGATCACAGGGTCCTGACTGTGCCATTTAGTTATAACAGGGGCAACATGGTCATCATCTTCCACCAGTCTGACTAGATAGAATGTACTTGCTCGTACATCTGTGGGTCTACGTCTTTGAGGAAATGTCCCTCATGTTCCTTTCGAATAAATGCTACTTTCTATGCTAGAACTTTCACTTTCCTTGTGATGGGCATCACCCATAATGAGCCAGTGGTGGCCCAGGGGGTCCTCTTCTTAGAAGAGGTCCTACAAATCTACATTTTTGAGAAGAATTCCTTTCGTGTATTTTATAATATTAGCCCATCAGCTAGGGGGGTCGTATGGTTCACTTAAGGGGGACAAACAAAACTTGCATAATCTTAATCTTTGACTAAAGAGAATCACAAAATTACATGATAGCAAGCCTTGCTGCATGATAGCAAGGCGGCAGCTTTCACTTTGTAAATCGAATTTTAAATTGCCCCCCATATCCTTCTTTTGGCCGCCATCTTGGATTCATAAACAAACCTTCGATTTTCTCTTAAAAACACACTATTTTCGTCATGACGTTTATTTCAAACAAAAGGTGCCAGAGATATTATGTTAGGATTGTTACCGTTAGTCAAGATAAGATGACGGCACATATGACGTCACAGTCACCGCCATTTTGCTTTTAGCATTAGTCTGTTGTCTCAGTCATCTTAATAATAAAATTACTATTCAGGCCCTCTACATCACCACGCTAGATGAACGTGCTTAGGACTATCGTAACGTTGTTTTCTACATTATGTAAAACATATTTCTATCAACAAGCTATATAAACCACAAATCGGACTAGATAACTTGCTCTTTTCTTCAGTCTAGAGGTTGTTTGAGAACACGGAAAAGCGTCATGATCGGGTTGATCGCATAACATAATTTGCAGAACATCATCGTTTTTGGAAAATATAACATAAAAGTATTTTTACATGCACCGCATTTGCGTCTTAACATCATAAGATAAAAAAAGGGGGAGGTTTAAGCAGGAGTTTCAGAAAGCGTTTTACAATGTACAAAACATGTCTTGTCAAGAAGGATATAAATACTAAATATCGAACCTGAAAAAAGAGACAATAAAAAAGATGACGAGGGTAGCAACTATCCTTCTGCTCTAAATATTAAGTATTCAACACCCGCAGAAGTACTTACCTTTATCAATATTTTACATTCTTAGAGTAGAAGACAATTATAATTTATGCTTTCTTGCACTCACAGGGGAGTACTTTTCTTCAGGACCCGGCTTAGGTACAAGCTGCAAAAACGGCGCGACGTCAGAGCTATATGCATACTTCTCAACGTGCCAATGAGGGGAGCAGAAAAATGGCACCTCATACTGCGGCTTGATAATTGTTTTTGCAATCTCGTAAAGATGACTCGCATGGGGGAAGATTCTCTAGCCTGACTTTCCTGCCAGTCTACCGTGGTGGATCTCATATTCAGCACATCCACACTTCCGTATCTGTAGTTTAAAGGTCTCGGATACTCATCATAGCTCGGACGTACCCTTCATTGTGTTAGGTTAGTGGGACTGCTTTCCACTTCCCTTTACCAAAGAAGGCAGAGATGTCATCACAGCCTGTGATTGACGAGAGTTTACGCTGATAAGGGCCCTTATGATGCAAGGGATGAAAATGCCTGGGCCGAGTTGCATAGACATTTTCTTAATATTCTGCTTTTCATGCCTCTTCCCTTTTTCACGTAGCACTTTTCAAAGTCAAGGTTTAGGTATGAGTAACCAGTAGGACAAAGATATCAGTGTCATCAGGGTGCATCAAGCACGTGATTCCCGGGCGCGTGCCAAGCCAGTGAAGAACCATAAACGTATCAGTCTCTCCGTGACTGAACTATACCTTTGGAACAGGATCTCGCTGTGTGGCTGCATCTAGTCGCCAGCGCTGGTCTTCTTCGGTTGTCACACGTACATGATCCGGTTGACGAGTCTGCTTCTAAAGATGCTTTTGTCTTGCACTGTAACAAGAGGAATGTGACGATTTCGGCCGCTTATTTTTGATGATACTGAGCATACAGCTTGTTCCGCCATGTCTTCACCGTACAGATAAGGTGTTAATTCTTACATTGTACACTTTCATAGCCTGTTCCAGGCGTTCAGAACACTAAGAGAGTTAGACATTACGTACAGTCTTTTGACATTTTTTATCAACACATTGCGATACACGGCGAACATTACCTATGCACCCTCTGCTGGTGCTCCTGACCATCTCAAACTCTCTCGGAATTGCTGGTTACGTTCTCTGGGTACTTCGAGGTGGCCGTGATGCGTCGCTCACGCTGTTGGGAGAGTCTGGCTTTGTTTGTCTTTCGCGTGAGTCCCCTAAGATCGGTAAAAGACCAAGGAAGAGCTCGAGGACCCTAAAAGTTGTTTTCAATGTGAAAGCAACTTTAATGTCAATATCATGAAACTGTCCGAGAAGTGCAGTGCCATCCGAGCTAAAAAATCTTGATCCATACGGAAAGGAAGCCGGGACTAGATCCTTGTTGCTAACCTAACGCACAGCCTTCAGCGTAGCTTTCTTCACTGGGTAAAAGTATTCTTGAGTGCGATTGGATGAGCAATGGCCCGTTACAAAGTCAATCGATGGCTTCCGTTTCACTTGCTCGTGGCCTGCAGTCAGTCATCATTTACTTCTGAGTAGGTAAGTTAAGCGACTCCGGAGTTGTAAAAATCTCAGTCTCTTCCAGTTTTCCATGCAGTGGTGAACTCGGTTCGGCAGTTGCATCGATTTTTGACGGGATGTGCGGGGAATTCACATTTAGCTGAAACTGATTCTGGGTCACGAAAGCACGACATGAGGTTGTCCAGCAAGAAATATTTCTGTATTAGGGTAGCGTTGAATTGGAACAACCACATAAAATGCATTCGTCCGCCATCATGGTGCAGAGAGAGACTTTCGCGCCCGGAGCGAAAACTCTGACTATTGCATTGAGACCATGTGTTTTGTTATTTTCGAGGGGACTCTATTCAACACACTAGCAATATATACATTAATTTTGTCTCCTTACTCTCTTTTCTGAAACAATTATGTAAACCTCCCATTTTTTTCCAGTGATAATGTAAAGTGCAAACTGCCGGTATTATTGTGACTCATTGACAGGCGATGTGTATCAACACGTGAAGTCAGGTAGATGTAATTTAAGCACTAGAATAAACGAAAGTCGTGTTTTTAGTTCCAATATGTTTTATATGTAAGTTTAAAACACGATTTGTTAACGTTAAAAGAATATAAGCAACTTTTCTAGCCTTCCCCGAAATCCAAGATGGCGGCCAAAAGGAGACTATAAGGGGCAAATTTAAATTTCGATTTTCAAAGTGAAAGTTACCGTTTTATACTTGCTATCATGCATTTTTGTGCAGCTCAATAGTCAGCTGTTCACCTCGAGTGGGCGGTAAACCCAAATTCTCCTAAGCTGATGGGCTATATAAGATATGGGCAGTTTTATCTTTCACGAAAAGTTCTCATACTCTGAGTAGTGTAGTACATAGAGATCAAACTAAATTCTAAAACCGTCATCCATAAAGGTGATTATAGTCGATTGCAAGAGGTGGTCATTTACGAAAAGTTCCAAGTGTACTCCTTTTAGGAATCGCGCTTATCTGAGGTGGTCACTGACGTCGAAGGTGGTCGCACATGGAGGTTCGACTTTACTCTTATCTTGCAGTAGGGTTTAACGTTTAACAGCTTTTCAGGATTGTCTTTTACGGAAAATTCTGAGTTGTTTTCTGTCGTGCAGTCCTGCCAATGATTGACGCTAACTGTCAAAGAGGGGCCTGTTCTAGTGCTATGGTGCTAAGCAACCCGTACGAAGAGTTTGGAAGTATTGCCAATTTAGGAAACTTGATGGTAACGCCTTTTAAGTTTAGATAACTGCAGTTAGTAGCTGGCTTTAGGGTTCGTGAAACAGTTGAGACATCTATAATCTTCTAAGTTCCCTTTTACACACTACAAAACCCAACCTGAAATCCAGCATAGTTGGCGTTGCTGTATTCCCTGCTCGAGAGTCAGGGGCTGTAAACGTGAAGGTGGCTTACGTATTCCGGGTAGGCCTTGTGGAAGAGAGAGTTCCTGATTTTAGGTCTGAGGGGTGGATCCCTTCAACTGATGAACATCACTACTTGCTCATGAAGAAGCTCCGGTGTAAATACGCTTGAGTCAGGGCTTGTGTCATCAAGACCACTAGCATCATCTGTTGTCCATTGAATGCACGTAACAGCTTTCGCAGACTCTCCAGGAACGTCTTGAGTATAAGGCAAACGTATGTTGCTATCATCTTCAATCTACCACTATTGGTGTCTGTCATAGTAAGTGTGTTGGTCGAACCCTCTTCACAGCAAACTACAGATGGTTTCCGGAAACTAGAACTTGATTTACTTAGGGCATGGCACACAAAGGCAGTCAAGGGAAAGCCTGGAAAGCTCCCCCAGATTTTAACCGAGACTTAATTTCCTATTGGACGATTTTGATCTTTCATAGCTAATATACTCTTTACCAGAATTCCAAACAGCGGAATACTTTATACCCAATTTTAAGCATAAAAATACTGTATACCTGAAATTGAATACCCCAAAATACTGTATACCCAAAAACCCTAGCCGACCCTGATCAGATTCGGCCTTATCGTTCTAGATGAAGGGTCTTGAAAGACCTGCGTGTAGGGAAAATCTTGCGACTAAAACTCGCTATTTTACACATGCGTATATTTTACCCGTTTCAGATTTCTGTCAGTCCGAGATAAAGTTTGGGGTGCATTGGCCTCGAACAAAGACCGGCGAGGAAGTGACAGTAGAATGCTCATTAGTTGATTCAAATTTAACAGGTATAATAGCTACATGTATTAATAGACCTTTGTCACTTTACCGCTGGCGCTATACATGGTTTTTTACTTCTCTCTTGCATTGTCACCACCCATTCTGTAGGATGTATTCAAAACCATATTACTTCTTTACGCTGTACCATTCTATAAATTTTAATGCAGTTATTCATATAATCATTGTCTGATCTGTTTTGTCCAACGCGGCTGACAGTCAAGCTTAATGTGTATTATTTTTTCGGTTATTATATAGAGCAAAGAGATCAAACTTTGCCGTGTGGTTTCTTCACTTATAGATTAACCTAAAATGCGGTAAGAACAAATAAGTGGGTATCGAGCGAGCGAGGTGGTCCTCTTCACTGATCTGTAACTGAACAGAAAAAAATAAAATGACAAAAAATAGGATATACTTGTTGCATGTATGTATACTGAAAACATAACCTCACACAGGCCACACAGAGTATCCACATTACAGCTTGGTGACGGTAACGGTACAGTCGCTAATCAATTACCACTCAACTTAATTTATAGGCGCATTTAGTAGTGAGTGCGGAACTAATAGGCAACCTGGGACAACTTGGTTTCACAAGATCACGTGTGGTTGTGAACGAAAAGCCTTAGTGGATTATTTCAGACAAAAGGTAGGACATTACTACAGTTGTTTTAGATAAGAGAATAGGTGTATTCAATTACATTTATCAGGACTGAGAAATATCAGTTCCTCACAAATCAAAAACACCTGACGTTAATTAATTACACCATCCTGCTAATACACTGTATAAGACTCTTCCATGGGGACGTCTGGTTCTGACCCTTCTCGAATTTGCAAGAGAGGGCATTTAAGGCTTGGTTTGTCATTTTTGGCATACTTGATGACCGGGTTCTCCACCAATCGTATAGAGCCTTTTTGGGAAATTTGTAAATAAAGGACAATTGGTTTGTGATTTTCGGTGTACTTGATTATCGGGTTCTCTACCAGTCGTATAAGGTCCATTTTGGGAAATAAAAATAATGGACAATTGTCACGCTGAATTTTGGGTGTTATAAACCTAGAGCTGTCATCAGTAATGTTTCGGCAGCTCAGTGCCTTAACTTAACGAAGCCAGGCAACCAGATAACATTCTAGCGATATTTTCTTGCTTCCCATTTCGTACCTTAAAGGCATTTTTTATTCAGGACCATAACCGGCAGACGGCATTGACACGGCAATTTATCCGCGATCGCAATGGGAAAGCGAGAACAGCTACTCCAGGAAACTTGCCTTCAGTAAATGTACAAGCTTTGTAGGACTATCTTGAGAGTTTTCTCCGAAAAACTTTCTCAGAAAAAGAAACATCGTTTTTGTGGATATTAGTTTTCCATTCAGGAATGTTTTTTTTTTTGCCTCTTGCTGGCTATGGTATTTCAGTGCATCGATGTATGATACACGACCGTAGCTTTACGTTAACAGAACAGTATTCTTATTCAAAACTAACAATATAATTCTTTGCTCCATACCTATCAATTATAGAACTGTATGCGCTTATTGCAAACGAAATAATAGTAGTGGAATTCATCAAGTTTTGCAATTATTCCACAGAAACAAGAAAAAACTTTCTCTTTATTCAACTTCCAAGCTCACAAGACAACGTTGGCTAATCGTGACAGGAGTACTGAGCAATGTGGGGTGACCTCTAATCAACCTGTCATAATTATTTCTTGCACTTTAAGATTTTAACTTTCTGCTTAATGGCCGTATGGCTAGTTGATTGGCTGAGTCATTTTAGAGAACGGGGACGTTTACTATGGGCGCGTTTAATTCACCGTGTCCCGGAATAAGAGTAACGGTCAATAACATCATTTGGTTACAAATCTCGTTCAACATGATATAATTAACCGATGGGATGTTAAATTCACCTTAACACTGTAATTCCACCAGATTTGGAGATGTAGCGATACAATGAAAGCCTGAATAAAGGATTGCTAGGGCTTATTCTTATTTTTCTTGCGGAAAACTGTTAAACAAACACGCCCGACATTGGCTTTTTTTCAAAAGCCAAGAATAATTATGTTCTTTTGGTGCAATCTTTTTTTCTGTTACAGATTCAGAGAATTAATACCACAAATATAGTGAATATATCTACGGAATTTGTGAATTCATATGACAGATTCAAGAACAAAGACGTTTTACTTGAGATGATAAATGATCTGTTTTCTACTGTAAGACGAGTTATTTCTCCAATTACAAGACGTAATTCGGATAAGGCCGCACAACTTGGCGAGGTAAGAAGTAAGAGAAAACTTTAAGGGGCTGGAGCATAAGGTAATTATCTATACTTATAGAGTCAGAGACAGAAGGCAGCAACAAACATTGAGGGAAAATTATTTGGAGAATTATTACAGCCAAAAACAGCAATAACAAGAAAACAACTTACAACAAAAGCCGCTGTGGTGAAACTGTTGACTAAATTTGATTTTTTTCTGAAGCAATTTATACATAACTAAAGCAAAGAAAGATTGTTGACTTTATTGAAGTAGAAACATTTGCTTTAAGATCCCTTACTATTCATTATTTTTTTGTTTTATTCAAAATTAGTATGGGTAATCAAATGGTGACGAGTGAAGTTAGGGAATAATTTCACGAGTATACCATTTGATTACCTATTAATATCATGGGTGACGAATTACGTTAGTAATGTTGGATTTTTGACTTGTTTATCCTGGATCGCATCGATCGAGAACTTCCCTCTCTCGAACGTTTAGAGCTTAAATTTGGCTTGAGTTCAGACTTTTTCAACAAAATACCTGTTAGAATCCTTCTTGATGTGCTCTTTCGTGTGTTCAGGTTTTTTAAGGCGTCTTTTTATGCCCTGGCATCTTCCTTCATGACATTTTGAAACTTCGTCGCCATCTTGACACTGAGGCGTATGGAAGGCTGCCATGGCAATTTTGTAATTTCACATGTGAAATTACAAATTATCGTTGAAATTTCGCGCCAAAATTAAGGAGTAATTCGTCACCTATGATATTATTATTATTATAATAATAAGCTATCCTTGTCCAAAAATCTACAGTTTTCCTTTTGGAAAAACAAACGGAAAAAGAATACTAGGATCAATTAACCTACTCGATATGATAAATCTAGGAAAACCCGATGATCCTGTAATAAGTTAATAAATGATATTCCGATGGCAAATGATCTCTCACAATCACACGATCCAAAGTTAAACGAGAAGTTGGGATTTGGTCATATCCTATAAGATGGTCACCATCCATGTGGCACTTATATCAGCCAACCGTCCCTTAATTTTTGAAAAACATGTCTTAAAAAATAGGATGGACCAAAATTGGAGGAGAACATGTAAGTGGCATCCTTCTCCCTGCCACAATATTTTATTTGGATTTTCTTTCTTTTCTCAGAATGTGTAAATTTCACTTGAATTCTAGTCAACGTATGTCCAAATTGTGAGCAACTACCCTTTTCTTTTATATGAAAGGTTCCCACGACATGAAGACATAGATTTTAAGCAGATCGTAGACGAAAGCCCACATGAATTTTAGTATTTGAGGTGCAGCTTTTTCTCAATCAAAATGGTGCAACTAGAAAATATTCATGCCTCGCTCTTTCTAAACTTTCAGTTATGGCTAAATACAACCGCAAAGATAAAGCGCATTAGTCAAGTATAAATACTAAAATTTAAGAAGTTTCTTTCAATTTTTTAACTCAGTCTGAATTCTTTATGGCTCTTATTTACTCGGCAGCAAATCAGAAAACTCTTGCTTAACGATAGTGCCTTTTACGTAAGTCATTATGACGGGAACGTGTATTGTCAGCAGCGTAATTTGGTAAGCGCTCTTTGTTTTCAATATGTTATTTACCTTTATGTGTAAACTTAATAAAATATCGAAATTTTACGCTTTTTTCACTTTTTAAGCTCTTCAGCGATGTCTTAATCAAAAGACTTTCTCTTGTTTTCCGCTAAAAATTAAACTGGTCGAAACGTTAGTCACAGTGAACTACATTCAGGACGATCAATCATATCTTACCTACTTATGAAATGCCTTCTGAATCTAGCCAATAACTATGAAACTGCTATAATTATCGCTTGTTCATTTCTTCAGGCTCAAACAAGGTATAACCTTATTAGCAGAGTTTTGGAATTTCTCCGTACAGCTCCAACCGACACTCAAGCTTACGCCATGGGTTTAACAAATGTGCCAAGCAACATGATAAACAATCCTGGGTAAGTTTTACAAACAATAAGCTGACGAGAGATATAGTGCAATTTCGTGAAGAAAATAGGTGGCTAGTAGCGGAGCTCCACGCGCACTCGATCCGAGCCCAACAGCTAAGAAAATTTGGTTATCTATCCATTCGAGAAATTTTGGTAGTCACGTGACCGTACGTCCGTCCGACCGACCAGGTAACCAATGCGAAATGTCACCTTTTCTGGCTAGTGTGTTCAGTTGAAAGCTGTTAAAACAGGATATCCACTGACCAATATCACATGACCGTATCGCTGGCTCAGTTGTCGACCCATCGAGTTTTTTTGAAGTTATCTTCAAGATCTTTAGAATAACTTGTCAGAAATCGTCAACTGATGGTTATCACACCGTAATGGAGTAGTCAGAGAATTGATACCGCCTCTTAATGTCCCTTTTGGAGCCACGACATGACAATTACAAATTGGTCAACTGAAAACTCTATTGTTCTAGTAACATTTTCTGGGTGAGTAGAGAGGAAAATAACTGTAAACAACAACTACAACATCAACAACAACAACAACAACAACAACAACAACAAAAAGTAGACCAAAAAAGTAAAAAAGTACCCCTGTCATTTTCGTATTGGTAGTCGCCCTCATTTACTTGCAAGATTGACCCTGGGACAAAAAACTTGTTAATGGCCGTTTTCTCACTAGAGACGCATAATCCGCCTTCAAAATCCCACCCTGAAAATCGTCAAAGTTGTCGGGAAAACAGGTGGATAAAGTCGTGCTGATTGTCCATCCAAAGTTAAGACTATGGTAGTCTTTAAACTAGAGCCTAAATAAGCTAAGAAATAATTCAAGATAAGTAAATTTTAAATTCTTCAAGTAAAAAAGAGCTTCACACACAACCTATCTTTCTTATTTCAGGTTTACTTAAGCGTATTTTACTACGCAACATATATAATTAAGATTGACTGACGTCCTGCTTCGCCCTTCTCAAAGCTCAGAAACCGCAAGTTCGCTAAGTCGGTTTTAAGGATGGTTTTCAAGTCACTTGAAACTTTCTTGAATCGTTTCAACTTTCCGACTTTAATGAGATGCAAACTAAAGTTACTTGAGCTCGAGATCATTTTTACTTAGGCCTTCACACACGCATTTTTGGTTAAATAAAACTTAGCAGCTCTTAAGTCTTACTTAACAGCCTAGTGTAAAGACAACCAGTTTCATTTTCAAATTAAGACGCATTTTCTGTCTGACGCGAATTATTTAACGCATAACCTGTCTCAGACGGATAATCCGTCTCTAGTGTGAATACGGTCAATAATACACAGAGAATCTTAAGTCAAAGAGCCATTATACGCTCATTAATCATTTAGCATGCACATTGGTTAGATTCAAAAGTCTTTGTGATGCGGTAATCTTATTATAAAATTTTAGCTAATGATATTCTCTTTTATATTAATAGAAGTTTTTTTGTTATATTTTCGAATACAGGGTACTAGAAGTAAAACTAGATCCGCAACCGGGTAATTATAAAAAAAATTTTGAAGACGATATCCACAATGCTGTTATTGAAAGAAGAGAGCTCATCATGATTATGCAGCTAAATAGTGCGCCATTGGTTACTCATGAGGCTGTTAAAGATCCCTCTGCAAGGCCTTTAAACCCGAAGCCAACTGCCTTTAAGGTTTTGACTGAAGTCCCTCAAAAGTACAACACTACAAGTAAGGAGGTAATAATAACTGAAAAGGCTTTAAAGTTAGGAATGCCTCATTACTGCATGCATCATTTCTATATAATAACATTGCATTCAACTGGGTACTAGGCCATTTGCATGATGTAAGCGTAATCTTTGATACTACTAGTGTCAGAATCCACTTTGTTTATTCCTTTCACATTTAAATATGGTAATCAAAGCTAGATAATTAAACAACTTAAGCTCTAATTTTTAAAAGAAAACAAACTCTTGAAGGATTCTGGTAGTAGTAGCAGGAAAATGACATCATCGAGCAAAAGGCAAACACAAATTTTCTCAGGCAACGCCTGCTGTATGCGTATTTTGTCTTTAGTTCTTTTTGCCTCTTAGGTTCTTTAAACTAGACATCACCCACGGTAAGTGTTAAGAAACAGACGAAACAGCAATTGCGTTTGACGTGAGGAAAACGCAATTTTTAATTACAGCCGACTACTGATAACTCGAACCCTCGCTTTGCCTAACTCGAACCTCGCGCTAACTCGAACCAAAATCGATTTCCCCTGGATTTCTTTCATACATTTATTATAATGTTACCCTCGGTAACTCGAACGCCCGCTAACTCGAAGTAATTTTTGTTTCCCTTCAGATCATTTCTACACAAATTTACCCTCGATAACTCGAACCATGCTTTAAGTCCCTGACAAGTCGAAAAAAGGGTTCTGCAGTCCGAAACATTGAAATTATTTTAACAACCGTGTGTTCTTTGTGTTTACTTTTTGTCAGTCAAAGGCCTAGTCTGGGACCTTAAGTCGCCTAAAATCGCCTAAAGTCGCCTTAGGTCGCCTTTAGTCTGGTGAGGACAAAACATGGACCAGGGGTCCATGGACCCCCTGTCATGGACCAGGTCCATGGACAGTTTTTTTTTATTTTTATAAGAAGGTTTTGCACCAGGTCCATGGACACTCAAAAACAGAAATAGTGCCAAAAAAAGATTTGACGAGACGCTGTCGACCAATGCTCACGATTGATCACAAATATTTAGTTGTGCTTACATGACATACACTCTGCTTGCACATGTGCAGTCGCAATACTGTTAAACTAAGCTGATTCAAAAGTTATCACCACGAGAGGAATTACGGCTCCAGTACAAAGACTCGCATCACCCTTAGAAAAACAAGCTGGAGTTAAGAATTCATTGCTTTTAGAGCAATCATGACTGAGTCACATCGCAATTCTCCATAGTTGATGTACCTTCAGTTTAAGCTACAATCCCTGCCAATTCTTCTTCTTCAAGATCTGGATCTGTAAATCACTATATATCCGTGAAAATTTATAATCGTCCTGCTAAAAGCGCTAAGGAGCTGGGCCCAGCGTGACAAAACACTGCAGGAAAAAGTGACATTCATGGACAAAAAGAAAGTGGCTTAGAATTATTCAGATCCAGGATGCACTATGGAGAAATTAAACAACCTAAAACCCTTTTGATCAGCCGCAATGAACAGCTTTACATTTTAAAAGAGGTAGAAAATCAATATGTGTGTCAGGACCTCTCGGTATGAGGTAAGCGGCAAAAATTCACATTTGCTCACTCAAAAGGTTTTCCTCCGAAGCGTAATCTACCCATCAGAGAAAACAATTCATTGGAACAAGCAGCATTTTGGCATGAGGTACCGACCCCCCCTTTTTTTACACTATGTAAGCACAATTAAGCAGTACTGATCAATCGAGCATTGTTTGTTGTTGTTGTTCTTTTTAACCTTATTTTTGCACTTTTTCTGTTTTTGTTCATTTCTCAGGCCGAGGCGGATAACACCCTCCGAGATCTCCATAATTCTTCATATTATACGAAAGCCGAATTCAATAACTGTTTTATTATTTATTCAAAATAATTCCTAGTTTAAAAACATAGCTAAAACATGCATGCTTACCTCCATCGATCCATCGATGTTCAGTTCATCTTCGATAGTGTACGTTTAGGTTGTTAACAGCTCCGCAAATATTCTCCAAATAGCGGATGTCGTCCTTCGAGTTGTCTTCTTGCTGTTCTTGCCATGTTTTTGGCTATTTTTTCGCCTAGTTCTTACTCTTGAAACGAGTGAAATGTCCGCCATTTTTTCAAGTTCACAACCAAAACAACTCAACCTCGTCCCCAGGTCTTCTCGGTTAACGGTGCCTTAACCTGCGAAAACGCTGCATTTTTGACGTCATTTCCTCGTTTAAGTCAAAATTCTTCCAAATTTGGTCATCAGTAACTGGTTATGGTGAATTAAACGTGTGCTCTTAGCCAATCAGAATCGGGGAAATATTTTGAATGAATAATAAGACCCATAAATTTCTTCTCCAGCCCTCTAATTTATACATTGAATTACTCTAGGCAATTTAATACACATAATAGTTAGTTGTAACCGATACAAGAATAATCATTCCTGTATTGTGGTACACAACTTTATCCAGTCACTTGTGCAGGTATTTCATTAGTTTCATCGGGGAGGTTTGTCTCGTATTTCCGAGTAATTGTGTTGTTAAAAAGGCGTTCAAAGGTTCAAGTTCCAGCTAAATAATGTTAAACAGCGTGCAAAGAGAGTAGACAGAGTAGTGTCCAGGCAATAGTCCTGGGGTACTGGAGTTTATGATTGGGCTGGTGAACTGCGTTTTTTAACTTGCCTGGCTGGCAAGTAAAGTTTTTTAGGGAATTCAGATTACAGAAGAACTGTAATCAATCCCATTCGTAAAAAAAATGGGGATAGTCAAAATGGCTTTCAGGCTAGTGCATGCTAGGTACAGCTTGCCGAAATAGCAAGCTGTAAAGCTGACTTTCTTTGCACCTTGAATAAAAATAATTAAAAAAGTAAGTCTCGTTTCTACTGCTTTGTGAGAGTCTAACATTGAAAGACATTCCAGCTCAAAACAGATCAAAACAGGTAGGTTGCAGAGAGAAAAAAGAAAACAGTTATTGCCGCTACAACATTAATACAAATTTTCTGGTAAGTAGGGAAAACAAGTTAATACAAGCCTAAAGGTCTATCGAAAAAAATGTCCATGTAAATTACCTACTATTCTAAACAATTTTCAATACATGTGTAGTTATGTTTCATTTATACAATACTCTAACGAGAAAAGTGAGATAAAAACACACAATTCAAATATCGGAGTTCATACTTTTTGTCTGGATACTTTCATTTGGCTCGTAGGACAATTTTGTCCATGTGAAGCTCACTTACGGTTTGCTGTTTGTCGTATTGGATCAGATTGGGATCTTGACTTTGTGACATGAAACATAGAAACATTACAAAGATGTAAGTTTAGATAACAGAGCTTGGAAATCGAGCTTGAAATGTGACTCAAAGAAAACAAGGACAATTTAAGAACGATAATCCGCCAAATTCTGGTTGCTAAAGGCAACAAACCTGATTGAAATGAAAGTTAAATACTCACGTTCTCGCAAAAAACAGCGGCAAAACAGCGGCAAAATCCTAGTTCTGGGCCCCCCTTGTGTGTATCAGGATTTGAGTACATGCCAGGACTGGACTGTTAAAAATGCCATTGTCCATTTGCCAATCATGTTGAAGGGAAACTCAAAATGCCGGTAATTCGTTGAGTACGTTGGGGCCCAGAACAAGGATATTAGTGCTGTTCTGCAAATGTTACTAACAAGGGTTAGAAGACAGCTGCAACACAAGCTACCTTGATATTTAGTAATTGAAATATTAGGTAGCTGAGATTGTTGAATATTTGGAAGACCAATGTAGATGTCTTCAAGACTGAATTAACTTATGCTATTAATGGCATAGAATAAATTTGTGTCCCTAGAGAGGTACATATAGTGTTATCAGTAGATTTTTAATTTTGTATATGTAGTTAATTTTAATTTTTCCATTGTTTCTGGGTGTGGTTATGTATGCTAATGAATTTAAAACAAAGCGGAAAACCAAAAATTAACGGAAATAAAAAATTAACTGCAACATATTCACTAATATGTAATTCACCTAAACTTCACCTTTTTCTCCTTAAGTCCCTTAAAGTCGCCTTAAATCGCCTTAAGTCCCACAACATTTTGACCAAATTTTCCTAAAGTCGCCTTAAATTGCCTTATAAGTCGCCTAAAATTACGGCGACTTAAGGTGACTCCTTAGTAAAAGAACCTAACATAAATTGTAGATGAAACTTGGTACACTGATGTAACAAGTCAAGACGATGATAAAAAAGTAATAAAAAGTGGGGGTCACCGTGCTTGTTTTGACGTCACAATGGTGACAAATACGGCTATTTAGGACCGTTTGTCTATTTTCGCGCGCAGCCCAAAACTAGACATAAAGGAGAAATGTTTTCGATGATACATGTGGTAACGCAAAGAACCTGACCTAAATGTATTGTTTATCCGGTTAAGTACCAGAAAAATACCTTTTAATGTCCTTGTTTGTACTTTACGCTCCAAAGTAGAATTAAATTGGGCACGCGCTATTTGACCCGTGATAGCTCAATGTGTACAATTTTAATTTTAGTAAACTTGCCAAAAAACTGAACATAGATTTGTGCAAATCTTTTTTTCATCAAAAGGAAGGACTGTCTGTATCAAAATCATGAAACAAAAAATGGGGGTCACCGCAGTCGTTTTTGCGGTAGAGCCGCAGAAACTGCGCACCAAATGCATTTTCTCCCATTTTTGAGAGAGGACTGGAGCGAGTTTCAAAATGGCATGTATGTGAAAGAGAAAACAAAGTATTAGAAAATCCGTTTTTACAGAATTTACATCGAGATAGCTCGTTTAGGACACGATGTGATATAAAAAGCGTTTAAATGAAAATCAAAGTGAGTAAGCACAAGTTTAACATCCACTGTCGAGGTTCTCCGTAACGAAGTCGAACTCAGCAACACGCGTACTGCTTACGTTATGCACATTCCCAGAACATTGAGTCTCACCTCGGCAAGAAAAAAACGCAAGCAAATATTCCAATAGCGTTTCTCTTCAGTCGACTTCATTTTGATAGGGTTACTTCGAATGCTCTTTTTTACGGCGGCCATCTTCTTATGCGCAGTAAGAGATGCGCAGTGCAAAACCAGTGAATCACCTTAAGATCCCAGAGTAAGCCTAAGTCAAGTTTAAATACAGTGTCCAGCACTGTGAATTTATCAAGTTTTGAAGTGTGCATGTTACTTGCATTCATTCCTCCCATCCCATTTTCTTATTTCCCGTTATTTGCTTCGAACTCCCGCTAACTCGAACCTTTTTCGATTTCCCTAGAAGGTTCGAGTTATCGGGAGTCGACTGTACGTCATTTGTGTTCAGCATGAGCATCGCCTTTTCGATAACGCCAAGGTTCAATCAAGGTGAACCAGATGATGGTCAAAAGCACGGACCTCATTTAGTTCAGCGAGGGAATGAAACATGGAGCTCTTTTTCGATGCCGGTCTCAGTTACTGAGCGGG